ATTTTGAAAGATATTGGCATGTCAAAGGGCAGAACACTACAAGGAAGAAAAACAAACATGAAATGACAGATATTTCTCAAACAAACCATAAAGAATTAAAAAAAAAAATGCGCCTCCTTGTTGCTGAAATGGTCAATTATAATTCTAGCCAACCCATGAAAGATAAAACTTGAGCCTTAAATTAGTAAATATGCTAACATCAGCAAAAGTAATTCAATCCTTTTTTTCATTTACCACAAAAAAATTCTGCCCTAAATTTGAAATTTTTTGAGACATCATCAACTTGTGTTGTCATCATTCAATTGATGCTAGAACACCAAATTCAAGTGGTACAAGTAAAAATAGAATATTTAGGAATTCAAGTGCGTGGTCTTTCATTTTTTACGATGTTCCTACCGTAAGTGACTTTTATGTACCATACATATAATTGTGTAAAGGATAAGGCAATATAAAGACAAGTTCCGAATTTAACCTTGGTTATTTGGGAAAAAGAAATAAATGCCATCAAGCTAAAAAACAATATAATACCTAACCTTAAACTTGGATCACTTATGCAAGGTGTGAGAAACCAACCCTGTGTGCAACTATAACCAGAGTAGATAATCTGCCAGAAGACATGGATTATTTAGAAGTTAGCATCGGAATCTGTCAATTCAGTTCAAATCCTTGTTGCAATATTAAGCAGTACACAGCAGTGTGACTTTAATCAAAAGCCAAAATAACAAACATGTAAGTCATCCAAAATCTAATGGAGACAATGAGAGGGAAAAGAAAAACATACACTTCAAACCAATGAAAAGGAAAAGAAAAACATGAGACAACCCAAAGCAATCATATATAAGAAAAGCACAAGATCTTCCATGAAATTCCTTGTTTTAGATTCATATTCCTTTCATCCCACCTTTGTTCCATGCCAAGTACTTACAAAATATAAATATTAGGAAAGCAATACATGAAATCCGGTCAAAAATAGAACCTGAGAATGAGAAAATCAAAGAACTTCAGTTTAACATAAAACTTCTGGATAATTTTCCATCTATCGTCTTCGATGACGACAATTTTTTTAAGTATATTCTACGCAACAATTGCAAACACTTCCCATATGTAAAGTTTAAACAATACAACCACGAAAACTAACATATAAGTATCAACATTCGATATTTTTTAACAAGAAAGACAAATTTACTGAGAAACATGGGCCTGAAGCGGCGGGGAATGAGAGTGTGACAGAATTTCTATTTTTAAGAAACAATGGTTAGGGTTTTCTAAAACCCCGGCCCCGGTAGGGAAAATGTGTATTCCTGGCCTGACAGTTTGTGTATTGATGTATTGTTAGCACTTGTATTTTGACTCAAAATAAGATATAGTTCTTTAATTTTTATTTTTAACAATCAAGCCCCTCCAGCCCAGCCCTTTAAAAGTCCTTTTCTTTTTCTTTTTTTGTTTTTAAGGAAATGGATGTGTTTTTATTTTTTGGTACAATAGAGGATCATTTATGAGAAATCTTTGAATAAGAGAGCTACAATTTAAAAAATCCAAGTTGAAATAGTAAAATACATATAAGAACTTTCACTGACAATTTATAAAGTAGTAAGTAGGAAATAGTCAACATTTCTTCTTCCTCTCTCTTTTTTGTTCTTTTATCTGTATAAAAAGTTACCTCCAAGGGAGTGGCTAATGGTTAAAAATTTGAAATTCTAAGTTAAAGATCTCAAGTTCAAAATTTTCAAATTCAAACATTGAGTCGAGTAGAGAGTGATTTAAAAAAAGATGAGAGTTATTCAGTTTTGTATAGCCTATTATTATTAGATGTATATAAAAAAAAATCTCTCTAAAAAGTCAAATATAGTAATTTCGTAAATTATTTGAGGTTCAACGGCATTTTAGTTTAAAATATTATGGTCTTTCAGTATTTTCTTATAAATTTGTAGGGCTTTTTATTTGTAAATGATACATACAACATGAATAGAAATGGATGAGGTTAAATTAATGATTAAACCATCAACTTAATAGATTGTAACTTTTAAGTCTTTGAATTAAAATTTCAAGTACTTAAAAATTTAAGCAATTATGCTTGAATTTTTAGATGGCATCATGATTATTAAAATTTGAAATACATGGTATCTTAATAGGTTGGTATTTTTTTATTTTAATTTAAAATTGTTCATTTTAGTTTAATTTCAAATTTTACAAGATCTTAACCATCTCCTATATGTGGAAAATTAAATTTGGACAATGCTACGTTTACCCTCCTTTATCACACACTCCGTTACACCCGCTTAATCTCCGTTATTTTCTCGTCAACTCTCAAACGCCCCCAGCCCAACTTTTTCTTTCTCTCTTTCTTTTTTTCTCTGTAGTTCTAGCTGATTCTCGAACATCTCCGATCATTCCCTTGTTTTCTCAAATGGTCCATCGCTGCCACAATGCTTTTCCATTTGTTGTGGGTCGTTGGACAATAGAACATCTAAGGAAGAACACTGGAGAGAGAAGCATCAAACCCTGAAGCAAATCTAGCGGAAGCATCAAACCCAGAAGCAGATTTGGAGGAAGCAGGGGAAACGGCGCTGCAGGGTGGTGGTGGCGAAAGCAGATCTGTTGGAGGCGGGTTCGAAGGAATCGAGGTTGTTAAGAGGAAGATGAGGCTGCAAATGATTAGGATGAGGATGGAGGTGAGGAGGAAGATGGATTTGGTGAGGATGCTGAACAGTAAGGCGATAGGAAATGAGAGAGAGAGAGAGAGAAAGAAAGGGTTGGGCTAGGTGCTTAATGGAAAGTAATTGCTGGGTTGCTGCTGTTTCTCAATCGCTTCTTTTCTCCCATAATATGCAATTCCCAGTACGCAATCGAGGTTGCAGCTTGAATCGAAATGTTTTCTAAGCGCAAGAGGTTGATGATTCTCGTGATTTCTTTGTATGTTTCCAGTTCATCAACCAAAGGGATTCTGATGGTTTTGATCAACAAGGAGGATGGTGAATAGTAAGAAGGAGAAAGGAAAGGAAAGAGAAAGAAAGGGTTGGGCTACGTGCTTAACAGAAACTAACAGAGTTTGAGAGAGTAAGTGAGTGTAACGGAGTGTGTGGTAAAGGAGGGTAAACGTAGCATTATCCATTAAATTTATATATAGATTAACTTGGCTTTAAAAATGCATGATGCATGTTAAAAATTAGGCATTACACATGGAGTTGAAAAAATACGAAAGGAT